TCCTTCATCATTTATAATGATACACTATATTGGATCACAGGTATACTGTGATATGGAGACTGATGGTGGTGGATGGACTGTATTTCAGGGGAGACAAGATGGATCTGTTTATTTCTATAGGAACTGGACTGAATATGAGAATGGATTTGGTGATCTTACTGGTGAGTTTTGGTTAGGATTGAGCAAGATTCATCGTCTTACTAAAGAAGGATCAAACACACTAAGAGTGGACCTGGAAGACTTTGATGATAACACAACTTATGCTAGCTACTCTACAATAATGTTAGTGATGGTAGTACTGAATATATACTAACAGTAGGAGGATACTCTGGTACTGCTGGGGATAGTTTAGCATATCATAATGGAAGCAGATTCAGTACATTTGATAATGATAATGATGCAACAGGAGATAACTGTGCTCAAGAACGCAATGGTGCCTGGTGGTATAGTGGTAGTGAGTGTGAGTGTGCAAATCTTAATGGTCCTTATATTGGTAAAGGTTATAATGATGATGCTATTACTTGGCAAGACTGAAAAGGATACCATAGCCTTAAGTTCACAGAGATGAAAACTCATTGTAACAATTAAAATACTTTCCCCATACACATTGTGCTGATTATATTATTATGCATGCCATTTTAATATTACAGTCAATGATACTTCAGAAAAATTATTTAAAAAGTAATAGAACTAAAAAATGTGTCACTATATATTTAAAATAGTATCAAATATATTGGTTTATTAATTTATAATAAGAGACACAGAAAATAAAACAAGAGGCCCTACATGCATATACTTTTCTAACACAGTAGTAGTTAAGTATGTACTGAAGATCTGGTTAGACTATCTACAGCACTATAGATCTAGCAGCAACAAGACATAAAGGAAACACATTCATAGCATGCATTATGAAAGTTTCTGCTTTTCTAAACAAATTAGATCTTATATACACAGTTTAAGTTTTGCTCATCACAACAATAAACACCAAAATAATCACACAAATCCCAGTTCTTCGAATAGTAAAATGTCAAAAATGATCATCTTTATGATGTTGTTCCTGTTGCTGTCCTCACTAGCTACCATTGATGAAGGAGAAGGATCTTATTGTATGGCTGATTGTACTGGATATAAACATAAAGCATCACTGTATATAAGGACATGCTGTAACAGCAGTAACTTAGGACAGACTATTCGTATGAGAGAAGGAAGAGTGAAGACTATCATGGTATGTCCTGATGTAAGGCCACAAGCCTGTCCACCACTAAGTAAATAAACTAATAGTTAAAACATTAATAATATACTGACACTATAAACTAGATATCAGTGATTGTAAGAGCTTGTTTGAGAATGGTAATAATGCAAGTGATGTTTATACTGTTAATCCTGATGGAGGGACTCCATTTGAAGTTAGTTAAAGTTCATCATTTTATGATACTTTATATTGGATCACAGGTATACTGTGATATGGAGACTGATGGTGGTGGATGGACTGTATTTCAGAGAAGAGAAGATGGATCTGTTGATTTCTATAGGAACTGGACTGACTATGAGAATGGATTTGGTGACCTTACTGGTGAGTTTTGGTTAGGATTGAGCAAGATTCATCGTCTTACTAAAGAAGGATCAAACACACTAAGAGTGGACCTGGGAGACTTTGAGGGGAACGAAACATATGCTAACTACTCTACATTCAATATTAGTGATGGTAGTACTGAATATATACTAACAGTAGGAGGATACTCTGGTACTGCTGGGGATAGTCTGGCCTATCATAATGGAAGTAGATTCAGTACAAGAGACAATGAAAATGATATATGGTCAGGAGGTAACTGTGCTCAGGCTGCCACTGGTGCCTGGTGGTATAAAAGCTGCTATTATGCAAATCTTAATGGCCGTTATTTTAATACTTCAATCATCATCAGTCAAGGAATTAGGTGGTGGATTTGGATACCAACAACTCTGCAGTTCTCAGAGATAAAAACTCGTCGAAACAATTAAGTACTGTCGCCACACACATAAATGGGCCGTTATTTTAATACTTCAATCATCATCAGTCAAGGAATTAGGTGGTGGATTTGGATACCAACAACTCTGCAGTTCTCAGAGAT